CAAACCAAATAATCCCATAAGGGTTTAGTGGCACTACCAAGATCTGGGTAGCCTTTGATTGGTTAAATTCATAAAAGTAATATGCGATCACTGCCCAGATCTGTATATAATATGCATTATCACAATGGAATTTTCAACTTGAATCTCAGAAATCTCTTGTGGATCTGGGTGGAAACCATCACTCATTATAACTGTCCAAAATTATCCAAATCCAGTCTACACAGTAGAAATAACATAAATATATATCTTATTAACCAAGCGCGAGGCTCGTACTGGGAGAATATTGGCGCTAGGTCTTGACAGTACGGATCGAGGGCAGCGAAGTCCGTACAGAAAAGACTGAGGGACGAGGGACTCCCAGTATGGTCCCGAGCAAGCTTGGTTAATAATAGATTTCAGTATTACATGACTTTGTGCTTAAAGGGAGTGTTTCACGGTTCGGCGCATGTGTGGGCTTATCAACTTTATCCGTTTAAAAAACCTCACTCACATGTTCTTCTCGATACTACAGTAACCACATGCTATAATATAATAAGTCCAAGCAAAACGACGAAAGACCAAATAATTTCAACGGATTACACCGAGAATGTCGACATTTGAATTATACCAGAATAAATTACCAGAAAAATCCTTTCGACCAACACTTTATTCTGGTAATATAGTCTGGTTTTCAATGTCAACATTCTCAGTGTAATCCGTTGAACTTTTTTGTGAGTTTTGATCATTCGTCGTTTTGCTTGGACTAAGTATAGTATGTGATTACTGAAGTATTGAGAAGTACATGTGAGTGGGATTTTTTAACGGATAGAGTTGATAAGCCAGCACATGCGCCGAACCGTGAAACACTCCCTTTAAAAATAGCTGTGGAAATTAAACCATAACAATGTAAGAAACTTTACCCGGCCCTATACTTAGAAAATATCAGACCGGCAATAAAGCATTCTGATTGGCTGATTTTAATTATCGGCCCTAATAAAAAACAAGTATAATTTTCCCACAATTTTTACTGTATTCTGTGGTCATCATTCATAAACTTCATATGCAACATGGTCCAAAATCTAGATTGTTGATATTAAAAAACGGTAGTTTACAGTGAAAACATGTACAAGCGTTGATAATTTACTGAGAAGAAAAGTTAAGCTTAAATATAAAATCATGAGTGTCATGTTGTAGCTTATTTAAGCTTATAAAGTTAAGTTATAAAGTTGACATTTTCACCACAACGTAACATTTAAATAAACTGAAATCGGTATTACTATTCGATTAGGTGTATTAGTACTTACTGCACTTCATTTCTGATACTTTTCCTAATATTTTCTTGTTGGTAGTTACTTGAAATCGTTGTGTACATGTCAATATATGCTTCTATCGCAAGGTCCTATCGCAAGGGCCGCCATGTTGTTAAATTTGAACTCGGGGGTCTGGGTACCAGTTCCCGCGAGCACTTTGCACAGCGGATATCCAATATGGCGGACAAACACAGATCGACGAAAGTTTAACTTGCCTTTGGATTTTTTACTGAACAAAACTCCACGTTAGTCTTTCTTTATTATTGAATAGTGTCGATTTTTATACGAGACTTTGGAACAGATCAAGAAATCCTCACAATATGCCCTGATGTTCCTACGAAAGTTGGAGGTAATTCCAAATTTGAAGATATTTTTTGAACATTTTTAATATCTGATTCATCAGGTAAATAATTTTTATTTTATCGCTATTAAATTTAGTATAACCTAAACATCTACAGATGTGCTTTCAAAATTTATGCGAAATGCTGAAATGTGAATCATTAACGCCTTTCATATTCACTCTTTAACGAGGCAAATCATAGGATAAGAAATTTAAATTAAATTAAGTTTAAATTTCTTCAACAATTTATATCTCTTTCAATTCACAGTTTTTGTTTTGAAATAATTCTTTTTTAGATACATGTATCTATTCTTCTGTAAATATTGTGATTATTCATAATTATGTTTGTTTTTGAGTGTTAATTGTTGCAAAGATCATAATAATTGAGTTTACATGTAACAAGAACAATCAATTAATATGCTATTTGACAGATTTCTTTACTCCATTTAGACACTGCTCAGCAGAATTGTGACTGATTTAAGGTTATTTATTGATATCAATAAATAGGGTGCTTTAACTTTAATCCTTGGTATATGTTTATTGTTGTTTGTCTCCTGGGCCGGTTGTTCAAAAGCCAATTAACGCCAATCCTAGATGTCCTAGATTAAAAGTCAATCGTTCATTGACTTTTAATTCAGGATTAGTGTTAATCGGCTTTCGAACAACCCAGCCCTGAACTAAAAATCCAGTGTACTGTAAATGGGCTGATGTGAAATTATACACAGTAATCCTAGCAAGTACAGGAGATCATCAGGCCGTAATAATAAGGGTGGTCATGGTGATGTAAATCTCTTTATAATTTTATTATAATTATAATCGTATCAATGACAAAATTCTCATTTCTGATTGGTTCTCCGCATGCGATCACGTGGATGTCCAATTATTACAGCAAGTTCAAATTGGATACCTGTAATTGTACACCTACGCCATTCACGCATCAATTACGTGAATTTAAATGGGTTCTTTCCTGCTGTCTCCATACTGTTTGTAAAACTGATTGAAAAAATCTAAAAAGAGTTTCTCTCAGATTTCCTACCTCGACTTTTGTTATTGATACGATTAATTGGTAATTGGACCTTGTGTCGTACAATTCAGGGGTAGTTGTGCTCGTAATTTCAAATCGGTCTCGCGCTGCACCCTCGGCCGATTTAGAAATTACTCACCCGATTACACCCTGAATTGTACTCCACTAGGTACAATTACCATTACTTATAATAAAATTTTATAATAATTATAATAAAATAAATATAATTTTATGCCTAAAATGCATAAAATCGCCTAAAGTCGCCTTAAGTTGCCTTAAGTCGCCTTAAGTTGCCTTAAGTCGCCTTAAGTTGCCTAAAATCGCCCAAAGTCGCCATGATTTTCCAGCCAATTTTGCTTAAATCGCCTTAAGTCGCCTTAAATCGCCTAAAGTTGCCTAAAGTTACGGCGACTTAAGGTCCCAGAGTAGGCCTAGCTGACATACAAGCTTAGCTGTATTCTTCGGAAATTCAAAGTCTTCCAGTCGTTCGTGGACTGAGAATCCAACGTAACCTCAACTGTAAGCCTTGTTAACTTCCCAAAATACTCAAAAACCGAAAAAAAAATCCTGAAAAGGTTGATTTCATCGACCTTTGATGAAAAAAGTTGAACAAGAACACAAGAAATGCCTCTTTCCAACATGGCGGATTTCTCTTGACTCTCCACGAAACGCGCAGTTGCTTTTAATTCCGGCGAAGGTCTATTGTTGAATCAGCCAATCAGATTCATTAGAATCACGTCCAAAATCTGGACGTGATCCGACAATCTGTAGAAGAATTGTGTCAGGCCCATTTTTAGCGTGACACCCGTAAAGAGAATGTAAGGAGCGCGAGAAATTGGCCTGATCGCAGGTTATATACAATATGACGGCTCCAACTATGGTGAAGTTTGGGATAACGCAAAAATATGCTTTCCTTTTGAGGAATGTTGGATGATAAATAAAATTCAAGTCTGACCATGCATGATACTGTTTTACCGGAGCGATTTGAATTCAGTTGCTTTGCTGCAATTATTTTTCCTTTAATTACATTTAATTTCAGAGGAGGTTGATGAAATAACTGACTGTTTAAATGCGAGTGAAACTGAAAGGGTGAGAAAATAAAGTGAAAACAAAACCAACCAAGAAGAGATATCGATAAAGTAAGAAAGATGAACGATATTATATCTTTGCCATACATTTGATTGGAATAATTCTATGATACGATTTCAATATTTCTTCATTCACTTAACAAGCAATATATGGTTTTCATCCACAGACTTGAAAGTTAGAACCACCTTGCACAGCATAATAAACAGTACCACATGAAAGTACTGCTCAATAGCTTTCATTTGAATGGTCACACACTAGGGTTTCATCCATAGACTTGAAAGTTAGAACCACCTTGCACAGCATAATAAACAGCACCACGCGAAAGTATCGCTCATTTTATTTGTATAGGTAATAGCATGAGTTGTAGTAGTATTTGGAAATAATACCGCGCCGAATAATATTTCAAAATTGTGCCTCGGGTACACGACGATCGTAGCTTCACAGATGGCATTGGAGCTTCGTTTTGAAACGTTTAAACAATGGAATGCTTTGTTCAGCTTAGTTATACCACACAAAAGTGTTTTGCTTTCAATATTCGTAGGTTTTTGGACACTTTGACAGATAATCTCGTTGAAATGCCAACTTTAGTCCACACGCTAAACAATAGACATGTCCACCATCTTGTTTTTTTTTCCTTGGAGTCAATTGTCACGCTTGCCATATTTGGAAGAGAGTGGTATTTCAAGACTTGAAATACCACTCTCTTCCAAATATGACAAGTCAAGAGTGGTATATTTGAGATAAATTCAGCTCGTTTTGACCAATCAGCGTCCAGAAATTTCTCAGCCTGTATTATAAGAATGGTCACACACTTGGATTTCATCCACAGTCTTAACATTTAGATCCAGTATACCGCAACTTCCGGGCAAGAAAGTGTAACGATCCAATTTAAAGGAGTTACGCAACTCCAACGAAGCATCTGAAATTTAACCTAGGTTTTACTTATACCGTAGCCTGTTCCAGGCTCTCGAAGCGAAAAAGCGATTCGCTTTTTCGCTTCGTCCCCACTATCCGAGAGCCTGGAACAGACTACTTATACCGTAACAGACCTGGTAGAACCGAGCCCCCTAAAAATGGACGACTCCGCACAAAAAGGACCTCCGATTGAATACTTTAAGACATAATTTTAGATTTTTCTGTGTAACAAGACTCGGCATCCCATTTACCGGATAATGTATTTCCGGCCTGCAGCCACCCGGGAGATCACATTCTCGCCGGAAAATTGTATAGAATCTACCCGAGCAGAATGTGGAAGACGCCGTGGCCTAATGGTTATAGCGCGTTGGACTCCGGATCGAGTGGTCCGGGTTCGAGTTGTCCGGGTTCGAGTGGTCCGGGTTCGAGCGCTGGTGAGGATAATTGTGTTGTGTTCTTGGGCAAGACACTTTACTCTTACAGTGCTCAGTCTCTCAATAGGAGTATAAATGGGTACCGGCGACAAAATGCTGGGGATAACCTGCAATAGCATTCGATCCAGGGGGAGTAGCAATACTTCTAGTCGGCTTCATGCTACAGAAACCGGGATAAGCTCCGGCAGACGAGTGTGGGTCAGTTTGGCCCGAGTGCGGCTTTTTTGATCATTATAGCAGGGCAGAATAACTATCCAGGTCGGATTTCACTAGGTCTGTTATAGAGGGGTGTTTATTTCATGACAGATATTGATTTTATATTTTATTTGTACCCCAGCTCCAGTTCACTGACTGCCTAATACTTGACTAACGCCATTTTTCGTCCCTACCAAAACCGAACTTCCTTCAACTTATCGTACATTAAATTAAAATTATTTATTCGATTTCAAAACACAGTTTTCTCCGAATGTGTAAGTCTCATCACTACGCATGCCTAAACCGACCGCTGTCCTACCAAAGCTGCTCTCAGACAGCACAAGAAAATCACACTCTGCCAACATGAAGTGGTCGTGTAAAACTCCCAGCATGCCTTCATCAGATGGCGGTTTTTCGCCCTTCTTGAACAAATCTAAATGTTCTGGTTTATTTTCAGCCGTGATTACCTTCTCTGCAAAGTGTTTTCTCGCATAATCTTTCACCAGGACGTTGTCAGCCGCTAGAAACCATCGTGCTTTGCGCGTGTTTATTTTACCATCAAGATTGAAAATGCCTCGTTCTATTTTCTCTGCGCACGAGAAATATTTTTGAAAATCAGACTCAGGAACTCTTGTTTGATTCCTTCCAAACTGTAGATCGCCTAGTCGAATGTGAATTCCTATGACTAAGGCGCTGTTTGCGCGAAGTGCGTTCCTCGTGTTTTCAAGAGCTTTTTGTAAGGAAGGTGATTTATTGAAGAGAAAATCATACGCACAGCCTATCATTGCGTACCGCTGAGAGCCTGGTAACAAGGGAGTAATTTTCAACTCCTGGGCTCGTTGCATAAGATATTTGTTCCTTTGCATTCCTTTTTCCGCAAAATACAAATGGGATGTTGCAATTTCCACCGGTTGATCCAAATAAGCCTGGACATTTGCTTTTCTCATAAAACCGATCACCCCCGAATTGCTTTTTGTTAACCAACCGTCTTTGGCGTGTTTTGGATGGCCACCTGTTCTCCAATAATGCTTTCGTGTTTTCAAACGCGGAATCGGGAAAGTCCAGTTTATACTCTTAGGAATCAGAAAGCGTTCTAACGGTCTGGGCGCCTTCCAATTGATCAAGAAAGCCCGATCAGTGAGAATCGCTAGATAGAACAAAGAGACCATGGCGTATATCCGATTGCCGTATCCACAACAACCTTCGCCTGTCCCCTTGGTTGTCCACGGACAGGAGTAAACAAGAAACTTTGGCTCTCGCCTATTATTGATGATATCTTGGTGCAACGCTTGATATCTCGTCTGCCAGTCTTTGCCGCAGATGTCTGGAGGACTGTAGATCTTTTGGTTTCCTAAGGACGTTCGTAGATCCACTCTGCTGTCGATTCTTTTTGTATTTTTGGCTGCAATTAATAATGAAACAGTTTAGTGAGCTGGACACCGGACCGAGAGGTCTGGGTTCGAGCCCTGGCCTGGGACATTGTGTTGTGTTCTTGGGCAAGATCGGTAACGGGAAGATGAGAGACCATGGGAACGAGGTTGGGACTCTCAGTGCCTCTCTCCACCCAGGAGTACAAATGAGTACAGGCAACACAATGCTGGGGATAACCTATGATGGACAAGCATAGTCGGCTTCATGCTACAGAAACCGGGATAATCTCCGGCAGTTTGTGGGTCACGTGTTTACGTAGTGAATTAGGGGGATTGAGCCGAATGCTATGCATTTTTTTTCCAATCATCTCTTTGAGGTTTCATACAATCTTTAGAAATGAAGATCACGAAGGGAAAAAATAAGATCAGGGATTACTGAATCTGAAATAAATAGTTAATAAATAGTTACTATGCAAATCGGAAAAGCGTGAACACTTTGATTTGACTTTGACATGTCTGAACAGTGTATCTACCAATCACATGCAAGACCAAACCGCAAGAAGAATAGTCACAAAACCACACTTGGCTTGTCCTTTGCTAAAAATTGGTTTATTTTGTTTTTCCTGCAGTGATTACATTGCCATTGGAGTTTTTGCGAAAACGAAGTGGAAATTTGATAAGACGGACCCAAAATGGTCAGTCACGCACCCAATATGTCACGTTGTCAGTCAGATTGTCACACAACCAGTCAGTTCGTCCTTTCTTACCTGGCACTTTTAAGGTTGTCTTTTCCACTAATTCTTCTTGGGAGTTATACAGGCTGCTGAAATGAATCACTACAACGAATAATATGGCAACTATGGACCATCTGAACATGGGTAAGACACCACATGACTTTATGCTTTGTGGTTCGACGGACAGGTGTAAGAGATCATCACGTGACATCATGCCTTGTGGTTGGACGGACAGTGACCCTTGATCCTAGCAAAGCAATTTAAAAATAATAATCTTCGTAAAAAAAATATTCGTAAAGCAACGTTATTCTCCAATCAAAACATATCACGATCACTCACGAGTACTCTGAAAGCAGCCTCGTTTCCAGGGCCATTGGGAACGACATTGATCCGGAAGTTGCACGTCAGCTTGTCGTCAGCAGAATACGCCAAGTTGCTTAGCATTTTTTGGTAGACGAAAACCGCGGGCTCATTCAAATTATCGGCAACGGAATCTGTTCATCGCCAAATTGGCGGAAATTGATTTTTCATATCTTTGTTCACACTGAAAAAAGCCACCAATTTCTCAGGCCTTTTTAAGTCCTTTATACATTTCAGTGTTTTGATAGTGAGCGAATGAGTTAATGTTTCCTTTTGTCTTGCCCTTTGTTATGGCATCATTCTGCAATATCGGTAAAACTTACGAAGTCTAAAAAAAATGGATTTGAAATTCAACTGTCTCCTCTGCCGCTTAATAGACTCTCTCTGGAGTAAGCGAATTTGGTTTTTGATGAAGTGATATTATATCAGCACAAAGATCTCGATGCCAACAGCCTCTCCTTAGCAGATAAGGGATAATCACGACTTCTTCTCCATTCTCCGTTTTCAAAGAGCTATTAAAAACCGAGGTTTTTCAAAGTGAAGAAAATAACGGACTTTTTTCGTCCAAATTTGCCTTACAACGTTGGTCAGTGTTGAGGGGCGTAAATCTAAATCGAGCTTCACCTTGATATTTCACGTATAATGACGGGTGATTACTACAAAGTCACAGTTGATGGCAAACTAAAAGCACGATTCTCCCGGGTTTCACGGGTGATAATTATTATGGTAAATCACAGTTCACAGCTAGCACAGATCACACTTCACGCGGAAGAAAACCCTAGTCATTTCACGTTTCCCGCCAGTGTCAAATCAGACACGCTCATGCACGAACATTTCCTTTACCTCCCTTTGTGTTCCACAGTAATGTAAATGAAAAGTGTTCATCTGAAATTAATTTACTCCAACAGCTGTTGTTTTACATGCAAAGTAGATGAATGTGTCAATCTCAACAACAGTGCAAATACTTAACAAATATTGGACGAGAATGAGCAAAATATCGTGATTTGTCAGTGGCGAGTTGCCGAAGCCGAATAAGGCTGAGGCAAATAATTGACCTGCGAGACACTGAAAAATCACGATATTTTGCGATAACCGAGTCCAATAATTGTTTTATCATTCGCTCCAATTGTTTTCGGGAAGCGGGAAGCCGCGCTTGCCTTGCTGAAGCAATCGCAGAAGTCGGCATTTCTTCTCAATTCAATAATTTATTCTGTCGATTTATTCTGCATCATGTTATCTTTGACGTTGCAACGAGCGATCAATCAAAATATACGTTCACAAAATAAAGCTGTTAAAACATTCACACGAACACACATTATTAAAATATAATATAGCGCGCAAGATTAAGCTGATGATCTCAAAGTGTCTACTCAACTGAGATTCGTTATATAAATATAATATGAGAACACTTATTTTAACACCTATTCGTCAACCTTGATGCTACATTTTCGTAATTTTAATAATGATTTGTAACACGTTCTTCTCGCCTGAAGTAATTATAAAAAGGTCCAAAACAGCATCCGAAGTGTTGAACTTGAATTATATCATATAATGATAAAAAAGGATAAAACTGAGGCCGCGTCAAGTTGATCTATATTTATTACAATTGTTCTTCAATAAATTAATCGGCGTGCAAAAAGACAATAAAATACTGAGAAATACAGTATGGAAAGTAAACTGTTTATGGTAACTCGTATCTTCAAAGCGAGAAAGAAAAATTTATTAGTGACTTTAATTGTCTTCTTGGTATAAAAATCGCAATTGCAGACATTAAGCCTACTCATTTCATTTCACTTTTTTGACTTGATAATGACGTGAAGTAGCGTCGAAACGTCGTCAACTTTTATAGAGTTTCTCAGGTATTTCAAGAATACCCTTGCGTTTACCTTCGCCATAAAATCATATTCCAAATCTTGTCTCAATTGCAGATTAAAGGAAGATTTCGGTACAACTTGTCTTTGTCGTTGCCATATATAGTTGAACCGCTCTCTACAACGGCCACCCTGGAACAGATTTTACTGGCCGTTGTAGAGAGGTGGCCGTTGTATGGAGGTTTCAGCTTATAATTAAGAATAGAGTGCAAGTACCGTTGTGGATAGGTGGCCTCAATAAGAGTAAAGTGTATGGATCGACGCATGGTCGGGACGAAAAATCCTGACCGTTATAGAGACTACAGAGAGGTGGGCGTTAAATAAAGAGATTTATCTACTCACCATATTATTTGGAAGTAAAAATATTGCTTGGAAAGATTATTGGCGGCGGAGTCGACTACAGTAAATAATAAGTCATACGTCGGTGTTGATCTTTGATATTAACTTAGCA